GCTCGTCTCCAGGATCATCACGGAGTCGACAGAATCAAATTCCGAGCTCAAACGAGAGAGAAACGAGGTTCGAAAGTTTGTTCATAAAATTGTACGATTTTAAGTTCCAGAGCTGTGTCTGACAGTTCGAAAATATAAGGTACTATTCGGTAATTTTCCATACTAATCTTAATCGGCTCGCAGTTTCTTCGTTTGACGTCCAAACGACGAACCGTTTGCGCCTACACGACTGTGGGAACAAGGAGAATTTTATAGAGTCAATCTCTGGAATTTTAGAACTTAATTCCCGACTTGGAATCGGCTAAATTAAGGTGTGTGGGGATTAAGAGGAACTTAATTATTGCATCGATTATTTATGCTTGATTTGCATATTTGGATGGATGGATTACTGTGGGTGATGAATTATTTGTTGATATGATGATTTGGTGATTATTCTTGATTGTTATGGATTTACGGTGTAAATATCGATATTTGACAAGTTTCCCCGTAAAAATGAATAGTTGGGTTTATTGAGTCTAAAACTGATCTAAGAGGTTTTTGTTTGTTCAAAAATGAGGTTGGGGCAGATTGAGCAAAAGATTCCACTTGAAAATGGTTTTCGGATTAAAAACTGTATAACGGTGAATTTTACGAAAAACTCGGTAAACACGTGTTTTACTTATCTTTAAGATTTGGATAACTTCAAAATGGTCAGTATGAATTGTTAAATGGGTTGTGGTCTGAAAAGGGTAAATTAGACAGTTGGTGGAGTTTTTATCTTTAAAACGGTAAAAATGAGCTTAATACGAGATTTGCGATAAATACCGAGTGTAATATTATTTTCATGGTTTGCAGCGGTTGAAAAATATAAAAACCGGACAGATCTGTTTTAGGATGATAAATGGAGGTTCTTGTATTTTTGGGAGATTTTTGGATTTATCGTTTTGTTGGAATTTAAGTTACCGTAAAATAATGGTTAATACGAGATTGTTGATATTTTATTGTCTAAATTGATTTTTATGACCAGGACTGGATTAAATGGGTTTTTGTGTCAATAAATTCATTTAGATGAATTTTTTGAGGATTTTAATGAAGGAAAGTGAATTTTGATTTAAGGATATTTTTAACCGCGACCGGGTTATTTGTAATTATTTGCGTTGGCACTATTTCGTGAAATTGTTGATGGAGTTTGGATGAGGAATGGTGATATGGACTGCGGAGTAGATATAGTGTAGAATGACATGATTTATGTGATTCGGTATTGGATGATGAGATAGTTGATTTTTTTTTGAAACGTCGAGTTGATAATCGACGGGAAATATATATATATGGACTGGTTAATCCGTAAGACTACATTGATTCCGGATTGATTGTGATGGATGAGAAAAATGGAAATGGTTTGATTCGTGATCATATTAATTCACGTAGATATAGAAAGGGCCTGCATTTACCCTCAACCCTTGAGAGTGGGTAGATTTAGCTCGCTTATGCGATTTAGTGTTGTGGTTGCATGAGCACCACGGATGAGTGTTGTGGTTAAAAACCACGGATGAGTGTTGTGGTTAAAAACCACGGATTGAGTGTTGTGGTTGCATGAGCACCACGGATGATGATTTGCTCGAGCGAGGGTAAGTGTATGGTGACCTTGGCGTCATTAATAATTAACCGGAATTTTCATATCATGCATTGATTATGTGTTCGTGAAATTATGTGATTATCTTATTTGGATAAATTGATTTGGTGATGATGAGTTGGTGGATTCGATAATTTGATCGGTAATTTATATATGATGATTTAAGATGACATCTAGAGTACTAAATACGATTGATTACGACTACTTGATTAGCTGATTGCGGTCCCAAAACTAAGTCGTGGGAAAGATCCACACACACAGCTTAGTTGCTGACCCACTTCTATTCAGTTTCTTACAGGTTCGAATGAATTGGGAGGAACTCTGGCACTGCACAATGATCGATGGATGATTGGTTTTGAATTTTTCCCAAATTTTGAAATGACTCTAATTTATGTTTTATGAGTCGACGATTTGGGTATTGCATAGTAGATGGTACGGTAATGAACATAGTAGTGAATGACACTCTGATTTGGTTGACATGAAATAAATGAACTAGATCGAGTTGATATAGTATATGATGAGTACATTGAGAATTGATCGTTGTGTTTTTGGATTATAATGATGTTGGTATGTATGTTACCAGTTGTAAACAGTGGAGTTTTTGCGTAACCCCCGATAAAGATTCTGCTGTGCGGGTGAACCATTGGTTCAACCCATGAGCTTTAGGGTGGGGTGTTACATCTGTCTTTATGTATCCTATCAGGAACAACTTCCCCATCTAACTGCATTTGCTATCTTCCAGACAATTTCAAACAGTTTAAGCCTTAATGTGCTTCTATGTGTAAACTGCTATGCTTCTCCACCAATTTTTGGGATAATCCCCTGGGATATTTTGCACCTCTGAGGAGCCAAGCAATGTGTAATCCATAAATGGATGGTATATAACAAATTTTGTATCTTTTGTGAGATCAGTATGAATTCCCAATGTACATACTATATCAACGTGAACAAATATGGACCATCTTAGCATAGAACCTCATTAGGATCAAACATGGAAGATCAAAATACAATAACTTAATTGTTCCGCTCATCCTGGCGCAGAGCGCGGGCAAAGAATAAACTAGTATAATTTATTTCGGCAATATGAAAGTATGGTAATGACCGGTATACTTGAGAAGTATACCATACTTCATATGTGACATGATTGTTAGATCTCATTTTCCGAACCTTGGCCAATCTCATCGATCTGTTAATAATTTTTATTAAATTGAACTTCGGTTTGAGTTTAGAGAATCTGGGCATGGGGTTTATGCATTAGAGGTTAGGGTATAGTATCATTACTCAAACTCAATTTAATTCATGGTCAAGATAGAGAAATCTCACTAGGAGTACTTGGAGTATACTATACTCCAGTAATACACCAGTCTGACCCAAGAAAGTTTACATTCCATCCCATACACGGCTACACCCTCTCTAATAGCATTAATTAAATTATATATATAAATACTAATCGCTAAATGTCGCCCTAAAAATTTCTAAACGTCGCCCTAACTTAAATGTCAAATTATCTATATACCCTTAATGAAAATTGAAAAAAAAAACAACACCCAAACAACCCTTAAGCCCTTCCCCTTCCCAGCGGATCCCTCTTCCCCCTCTTCCCCACTGCCGCCGACCTCCCCTCCTCCCCTCTGCCTCCCTCCGCCGGCGACGACCTCCCCTCTGCAACCCAACCGCCGGCGACGAGTCGCGCCGCCTCCCGCAGTCGCCAGCAGCCGTCGACGTCGCCCGCCGCCGTCGCGAACGCCGGAGAGGTAAGCCCCCAACCGCAAGCGACTCGCGGTCGCCCGTTGGCTAAACCGCGGTCAACGCGCGGTTCAGACAACGGCTGACCGCGGTCAACGCGCGTTTGACCATCGGTCCAACCGCGCGTTGACCGCGGTTGACCGCTTTTTTTTAATTCTGATTTTTATTATTCAATAAATGCTAATAATAATAAAATTATTTAAAAAAAATAATTTAGTTATATATTTTGTCAATAATGATATAAAAAATTTAAAAACGTATTCGATAAATGTTAATTAATGATAACAAATTAATGAACATTATAAAAAAATTAAAAATGTGTTTATATCATTTTAATAATCAAAATTTCAAAGTAATTTTTTTATCTACTTAATTATTAATAATTTTACCGTGATTAAAAAGTAAATAATTATTACATAGAACGTAACATAAATGTTAAAACTATTAGTTTTATAATTTTAATTATGAAAATCTTAAATTAATTACTTTATGTACTCCATTATTAATTATTCAAACTTATTTTTGAAGATGTCTGGACATGGAATGGGTAAACTGGATATGATTAAGGCGAGAAATAAGGAGAGAATGGAAGGTCGTGCTTGTAGACTTACGACGACTGATAGGAAGGAAAATGAAGAAAAAAATCCACCTAAGGTTAGAAGGAAGAAGAAGAAGGCGGATGTAGTGCGTCCTGACGGCCACCCTACTGTGGGGCAGTTGTCTCTTAGTCAAGGTACTACCAGTACTCCTATACCAGAGAGCGCACCGGTATGGCAGGCTAATTGGAGTGATTCCATTGACGAGGATGATGATGATGACGGTGATGCTGAGGTTGGGAATGCCCCAGATGCTCGTGATGATGCTGGTGATACTGCTGTTGATGATGTTGGTGATCGTGTTGGTGATGCTGAGGCTGGGGATGCCCCACCTCAAGCTTATTTAGGCGTGGGGAAGACGGCGCGGGTCGGGTATCTTCTACTGCCTCCTCCCACTTCCGTAGGCCCGATGGACGCTATGCGTCCAGACCTAGTAGCGAGGATGGCGGAGATGGAAATAGGAAAAGGAAGACCACGAGGAAAGATATGTCGTGGTTTCTTACAGCCGAGTCTCCGATGTGTTCAGGTGGACCAATGATTCCCGATGTAATCCCTAGCTTTGGAGGTCACATTGGCTTTGTACTGTGGAATTCCCCTGAGCAGGACCGTGGAGTGTTGGACGGCTTCCATAGGCCGAGAGCTGTAGCGACTTTGAGGCGATATAAGTGGAGTGCAGAGGGTTCCAAGGAGATGGTTGAAGCCACAGGATTGTCTCACTTGACAGGGTGCATGATGCAGCATTTAGACATGGCTCTACTGTCGGCATTTGTGGAGAGGTGGCAGCCGGACACAAACACCTTCCACATGCCGTTTGGAGAGATTTCGATCCTTCTACACGATGTGCATCACATTCTTCGGATATCGGTTGACGGAGAGTTGATGGGAGATGAGGCGTCGCAGGATACTATTAAGTCAGACATGGGTGGTCTAGTTCGACTTTCGGTGGATGCTCAGGTTGGTGGTAAGTGGAAGTCTAAGTGGTACGATATTGGTGCTATCATGCAGAGGGATTGTTGGTGCGTGGGGGAGAGCTGAAGATTAAGGAGATGGAGGTGCAGTGTTACCTATTTGTGTTGCTAGGATCCACGCTTTTTGTGGACAAGAGTCGTGATCGCCTTCGTCCTGCGATCAACTTGTTTCTGAAGGATCATCGACGATTGACTGATTACGCTTGGGGAGATGGTGCACTAGCCTATCTCTACAGACAGTTGGGAGTGGCCACATGAGCGGGTAGTAAGGGTCTTTGTGGTTGTTTGACCCTGCTTCAGGCTTGGATATATGAGTACTTTCCTCTATTCCGTCCGAGCCAGCTGCCGCAGTCTCCGGATGCACTTCGTGCTTCCTCGTGGATTTCTCCCTGTTTGCCAGGTGGGGATGAGGCTAGACAGAGGTTAGCACGTTATCAACAGTTGTTGGATGAGCTTTCAGCTGATGATGTGACCTGGACTCCGTACGGACGAGATGGCCACACGGATATACCCCGCTCCTTGTATATTGGCCCCATTCGCTTTTCTGACATTTCTGAGGGATACGATCCTGCACGTTGTCTGCGCTAGTTTGGATACCGACAAATTATCCCCCGTGCTATGACGGTACCACATGACCAGTACCGTCCGGCTTCCGGCAGCAGTTACATAGTCTTTTGGGATCCGTGGGTGAATCAGTTGTGGGATAACGTGGCAGCCCGTCGTCTAGATTTGGATTTTGCTTCTCGACCGTGCGAGTAGCCATCGGAGATCGTGGAGGAGTACGTTGATTGGTTTCTGACTAGATCGCACCCACGGATCACCCACCCCATTGATGGGGTGCCTCAGCCTCGACCACTACTAGTTCATCAGGTTAGTTATGACTTTCTTTTGCTTTTCCAAATATAAAGGACATTTGTTATTTATTCTAATATTGTTTTCTATTTACAGTTGAGAGAGCAGATTGTGGATCGTTTAGGTCCCGTGTTGTTGACGAGGAACCGGAGTAAGTGGGAGGAGGACGGTGGTAAGTTCTATGATATGGTAGCTGGGGTTTTCGAGTTGTACGACCAGTTGGTAGGGCTGCTGCCTCAGTAGAGGATTGTGTTTTTTTATTTGTCATCGTTTGTAGTTGAACTGAGACTATTGTGTTTTTTATTTGTCATCGTTTGTAGTTGAACTGAGACTATTGTGTGTTTTTTATTTGTCATCGTTTGTAGTTGAACTAAGACTATTGTGTGTTTTATTTGTCATCGTTTGTAGTTGAATTGAGACGGTTGTGTGTTTTTTTTACTTTAGTTACATTCAATGCATTGCTAAAATAGTTAATCAACATGGTAGATTACTAAATGTTTCAACAATAGAGAGTTATACAATTCGTAAATATACTTCCAATCTTCATCCCCGTGGGTTCAATCTATCATAAAGCGCTGATGACTCGTTCTTTACACATGTTTTTACCCCCGTTCTTACTCCGTTTGAGGTATTGATTCTCGTGTTTTAGGCCGATTTCACGCTAGGTTGTGCTTGTTTGTGTTATTTCAGGTCCTAGTACGTGAATGAAGGCTTAGGAGCGAGTCTGGGGTCGATTGGACGAAGAACGGACGAAGGGCGAGCTTTTTGGGGAGTGCACGGGCAGACCAGGAGGCTGCACGGCAGTGCACTTGAGCCATTTGGCCGTGCGCCTCACGCCGAGGCCATGCACGGGCAGGCCATGAAGCTTGCACGGCCGTGCGCCTGGCCGTGCAAGATGGACGAAGACACAATAATTGATACGGTGCGTTTCATGGTGCACGGCCAGAATCGTGAGGTGCACGGCCGTGCACCCTGGCCGTGCGAGTCGGGAATTGCTGCTTAAAACCCGATTTTCAGCCAAAGGAAGGGAGAGAGCTGGGTTTTGGATCCCAAACACCCAAGGGACGAACCCTAGAGAGAGAGAGCGACTTGGAAACATTCTTGGAGCTATTTTGGAGGATTTCTTCGCCATTGGAGCTCGGGAATCAAGCTTGGAGATGGAGATTGATTATCTAGATCAGATTTCTGCAGTCTCTCTCTTCTCTATGGAGTAACTTCCCTTCACTTAGGTTTTGAGGAACCCTAGTTCCATGAGTTAGGATCTTTCTTGTATGAAGTTTTGGATGCTTTATTGTTTGATTATAATCGATTGAGGCATGATTTATTGAGTCAATTGAATCTTGATCAAATTCTCTTGATTTCTGCATTAACCTATGATAGATAGAATCTGATTAGGTTAAGAGAGCTTCCTTGATTGATAGTAGTGAATTGGTTGTGCGAGAGTCAATCAATTCACTGCTTTGTACTGGAATTCATTCCAGTAGTGGAGATCTGTGTGAATCGCCTTAGCAGTCTATCCCGGTGAAGGCTAGTCGCCTGCCGGGTATTCTGTCTGAGAGGGCTTGGTCAGCTTAAGAGATTCCAAGCTAATTTAGGATCTTCCGCAGTTTAATCAACAGTAGATCAACCAAAGGTAATTGCAACTTGGACCTAATTGAGGAGCTAGGGGGAATCATACCTAAGTGAGTTCCCAACTTGTAATTAGTAGAGTAGTTAGTAGAGTAGTTTAGTAAATCAATCCTTAATCTAGTTTGCTAGATAATGAACTGAAGCTGAGTAATAGTAACTCTAGAGACCCGTGGATTCGATATTTATTACTTGTGCCACTATACTGCAGTCCCTTTCATTGGTTACACTTGGCCATTGTTAGGTGCTGTGTTTTAGCGTGTCAAGTTTTTGGCGCCGTTGCCGGGGAACTTTCTAGATTATTAGGAAAGGCAGAAGTTTGTTACTTTAGTGTTTTTCTTTTCTTTTCCACCCTTGCTTTTCACTTGGGTGTTTTTGTTTTTGTTGGTGCAGATCTGAATCATGGATCCTCATGGCTTCTCGAACCATTGGGGGTATCCACCACCATCCGAGTGGTATTACCCCGAGACCCCCTGGAGCAATCAAGGAGAAGAAGACTATGGATTCGGGTTTCAGTACCAACCCCCATCCTACGAAGAACAATCAGACCCCTGGGTATTTCAAGAACAATCTCTTTATCAAGAAGAATTCCTCCATCAGCCAGATCCAAACTATCACTTGAGGCTTCTCGTGGAGCAGATTGCTCGAGTACCTGAGACATCCTTTCCAAAGATGGATATCCCAGACAATGCCCAAACTGGGTTCTCCTACCGTGAAACAGAGGAGACCCTCCTGAGCATAAAGAAGAGCCTCGAGGATCTTGAGAAAGCTTATGCACAACCTGCTCAAGATCACCCTTCTGCTATCATACTAGAAGAGGAGGAGGGTGACAAAGGCTATGGGGATGTTGAGGAGCATACAGAAGTTATCACAGAGAACTCCCATGATAATCATGATCAGGAAAGTCCTCTGGTTGCAGATCACACAATTCCTTATTTCTGCTCTAACATGCTGGGCCCGATCGAGGAGATGCATGATGAGCTCATTGAAGAAATTGCATGGCGACTTGCTCTCCAATCTGTGCTAGAAGAAGAAGAGCAAGAAAGGGTGCAGAAAGAAGTTGTGGAGGATGAGGAAGAAAGCAAAGAAGAGGAAGTTCTCGATCATTTCCCAGGGGTGATACCACTTGAATAAGGAAGGGGGTTGAGGAAGCAATTGGCGTCCAGGCTGAGGATGAAGTTGTGGTGGAAGAGGCCTGCACCGGCCATGAGTTACATGTGATATCTCCACCAAACTTCGAGGAGCTGCTTGGCAAGGACCCATTTGCAGTGTCTCTTTGCCAGACCAAGGCCACATCGACATCGGTCCCTCTTGGTGGACGCGATGGTGGCCAATCGATGCTGTCTTATCTGGTTTGGGGCAATGAGACAAGAGAAGAGAAGAAGAGGTCTCGAGGGTGGAGACTTCATCTGCATCAAGTGCACGAGCCTTCATCACCTGCCACACCACCTGCTTGTGACTTGAGACTCCACCTCATAGATGAGAACCTCAACTTCAAGGAGGTTCTAGCATGGACCGAAACTTAGGAGCCATCGTCCGGCTCACGACGTGAAAGAAGCGCTTGTTGGGAGGCAACCCAACCAGTCAGTTCGCATTTCTTTCTCTATTTATCCTCGGTTGAGTCAGTTTTGTTATTCGATTTTAGAGGCAATAACTCAACCTTTGTGAGATTTTGTGTGGTGTTTGTGTTCTGATTACTCTCTCTTCCTGGAATGCATCGCCTGACCCGTACATCATCATTCACCCTTGATCTGGTAACTTCGTTCTACCCTCCTTAACTTTCCTCCATTGAGGACAATGTCGTGCTTAAGTGTGGGGGGGGGGGTGTTCGATTATGTATGCGGGTGAATGTTTGGCTGTTTGTGTGCTTGGAGCCTAGTCCACTGTCCAAATTTTTAAATTTGAGGGCTCCAAGTACGTGTTTCCTTGCAAATTGCCTACTCAGTATGCTTTGAATTGACAGTCTCTATAGTAATGTGCAACCTAGGGAGGTAGTGTAGCACTATGGAGGATGTTGAAGTATAAGATTTTTCCTATCTAGCTCTCTGCTGTGTCAGTTGATTTTGTGAATTAGTGGAGCTAAGACCGTTGAATTCATGTGGTAATGTGGACTCTGTTTGAATTGTGTTATGGACTCGTGTATCGAACAGGGTGCTCATGTGGAAAATGAAAAGCAGTTGGTCCTCCATGTCGAAATCATTGAAATCTTAAATATGGGGTAAGCTCAACGTGTGTGGCACCGTTCATTGCAAAAAATCGGGTTTTGGAAGAGATTTTAGTGATCCTTAGTGGGGTACTCCTACAAGGTGAAGCTAAGTTGTCTCTAGTACAAGTAAAACTTCCACCCGTTGAACGGTTTGCCTACTTGAGGATGTGTTTTTAAGGGCACGGATAGAGCTTCCGACCCCCCTTAATTCCATTGACCCTCCACACGAGTTGAGGAAAAGGAGTTAAAAGAAGTACCCTGGCGAGCGCCAGGTGTACAGAAATTGCTCTTGCTCGACTAATAAGGGTCGACCGTGCAAAAGACTGCAGTTGGAACCCCTGCTAAGTGAAAGAAAAAAAACAAGGAAAATGTGAATGAAAGTGCAAAAAGGGGTTCCAACGGCGAAATGAAGTGAAAGGGCACCCCGGTACAACGAGTCCTTGGTTGTGAATGGTGTGAGTCCCTTTATCCATGAACTGACTGTCTTACTTCTACTTTTTCTCATGATCCTGGCTTGAGTCTAGTACTCGCATTGAGAGAGATAGGGAACGTCTTAGAAGACCAGTTGACCTCGTAAGCTGCTATATGATCTAGGAAATCCTCTACCGACGATCGGGGTTGTTTGTTGCTATAGAGGTCTAGAGAGCTGCATTGGTTTGAGTTAGGTTTGCTTGGGGACAAGCAAACAGTTAAGTGTGGGGGAATTTGATGACTCGTTCTTTACACATGTTTTTACCCCCGTT